AGAAATAGGAATCGTTAATGCTATTTATCAGTGTCACACAGCGTAGTACGAGTCGCGAAGTACGCAAACTATCGCAAGTGAAAATTTAGTCCCGTCATAAGGCCAAATTCGCAGTGAGAGCATTAACTCTTCGTGACGAAATCATTCCATTCAAACCATTCTCCAATCCAGACCCCAGATGTGCAAAAAGACAGGTTTCTGAAGTTGGTTAGCTAGCACAAGAAGTACATGGCCCAGTCAACGGAACTTTATGCGTGATATAACGGTGGTAGTAGGTTTATTAGTTCTTCCTGCAGTACAATCAAAATGGCGAACACACTTAGCATCAGGCGGTGTTTCCGCCGCATACGAGCTAAACTGCGAAGCCACCAATAATTGAAGGTAATTAGCTTTACCACGACTATCAATCTGATGGGCCAGACATCATAAATGCACGGGAGGGCTGAACATCGGTCGGTGGCCGAAAGGATTGCACGTCTAGCATGAGATCCTTAGGTCACAGGTTAGAATCCGCGTAGGGGCAGAAAACCTCGCGGGATACTCAGCCTACGCGCAACCAGTGGTGATCGCAGTGAAGCGTCGGTACAATGTGCCAGTGTACTGCTGACAACTTGGAAAGACTGAACAGACGGCAGTACTGTGGGCACTATTCATTAAGGCGAAAGTGGTGTCGCACGGGTTCCTCAAGCGGTGAAGTTAAGAAGAGCGTTCCGAGCTTTGCTATATGGTCTGCGATCGCATATACTATTCCATGTGTTGAATTTCAGTATAAGTCCCAGCTGATCCCTACCAGAAGTCAGTATAGAGTCAGATAGCTGCTAATCCTTCTTAAATGCTAAATGCAATGCGAAACCAATGACAGATAGTGCTAATCTATCCAGTGGTATTTGGAGATTTGATGAACAGCTATAGATCAAAGCAATATCGTTGGTGTATTCCAATTCGAGGTGTCGCGATATCAGTCCTACAAAATTTCATTCGGGACACCTTTCCCATCCACCAATTTTGCTATTCTTAGTACCGTGTAACGGACACAAGATGCATTATCGGTGACAACATTACCAGATGGCAATTATCACCGCCCTACCTAACACAATGTTACCAGGTCGCTGATTGCGCAATCGAGTTAGTGATACGGTTGCTGGGTGGTAATTACGTAAGTCTAATAATACCTTCGTTCCGTAATGAAGTGGTAACTATGTCGCCCTTCTGATAACGTGGCCATATGTGCTATAAATACCAGGCTGCAGAGACTGCACTCGTCTTTGGTTTGAATTGTCAAAGCGCTTCTCTGGAGGTCATTGTTTTTCCTCTCTGCGTCCCGAATAATCGCGCTGTGTTCGTACTAATCTCGGCACAGTGATAAGAAACCGCTGGCTGACTAACTCACTTGAGGAGCGTCAATCCGCATCGTTGTTCCGACCAAGGTAAATGATCAATTCACTTACCTTGGCAGTTGCATCAACAAGGTATTGCAAAGGAAGAACTGCTTTCTTGAATCCGTGACATCTTTGGCGACAGAAAGGAGTTTACAAGGCCACAGTGAGGGCCGTCCTACTCCATGAGAATGAGACTTGGCCCCTTCGGTCCTGGGATATGAGGCATTTTCAAGTCTTTGATTATCGCTGGTGTCGGGTGACACTAGCGTGCCCGCAACGATGAAGTGCGTAAATGAGGGCTGGGCATTGTTAAAATCAAACTAGTTCCTTGGAATGGCAGATAGTGCTGAATAAGTTGCGTTGGCTTGGGCATGTACTACGGTATGCCCGGTCACCGATTACCGAGGAGGGCCTTGTTTTGGCTGTCAGATATAGGGTAGTGCAAGGCTCGAGGTGAACAAAAATTGATTGGGCAGCGGGAAATAGAGTCACTGACTACCAAAATCGGTGCCGTCGGTCCGTCTCGCCTCTCAGGCTGGAGTCCACATGGCGCCTTGTGAGTGACTCGAGACTTTGCAGGACATGGCTCGCATTCGAGACCAGTGGCGCATCTGCTACACTCTCCGAGTCGGACTCCTGTTTAAAGTGTGTTTGGTGTGGCGTTATCTACGGGGTAATGGCTGTTTACGAGGCGGGGCAGTGAAAGCAGTAAGGATGCTGTATCGCTGATGCCGCCTTATCTTTGCACGATAGCCAACGATTTGTGACGGTAAGTTGTTGATAAGAGGTAGGCGCCTTGACTATGAATGTTTGTACAAAACATTAAAGTTTCCGGTAGGTTCCCTTTCCTTCCCGCTTATTATTCTTCGTTCCGTAGGTTGTTGTGGTTGTATGTCAGCGAAACATCAGTTCAAGTGGCTGATGGACTGATGTTTATGATGATGACCAAGAGCGCTGAATCCAAATGTAGGTGGTAAAAAAAGATGAAAAGGAATATTCGTTTCCCACACCGCTAAAAACAGTGAATAACGGAGACAGCTATCTATACGCGAACAAGGCTTTTTCGCAATATCTAAGTCCTTTTTCAGGTACATCGTTCGCAAGCAGAGTTACTTGTGATTTGAAACCAGAGGTCAAACGTCCATAAAAACAAGACAGAAGAGGATCAGGTATCAGCACTCACCACTCGCATGCTAAAGATTTCGAAATATGTGAAGCACAGCTTGTTGAGAACATGAAACATTTACGCTCAGTATTTTTCGACAATGGACTTTATTTTAGTTTACATCTTCCGATTGTCCACTTATTTTACTGATGGTTCATTCGGTTCACTTGCTCTCTCCCAATGAGTAACGCTGCTACGCTATGGCTGCCCGTACTTATCTGCCCTCCATTTCCAGTAGCTTCCATTAATACACGTTGGATCCAGCTGCTCCTACTGCTCTCTGTATTTTCTTACTTGGCACGTCTCTTACATGGCAACGCTTGCGAATGGCATCTGAGTAGCTAATGCTTCTGATGGTCGTTTATAGTACTTGGATTCATTAAACTATTTGGAGAAAAAAGACAAATAAAGAGCTGGTAATATCTTATAATATAGCAAAGCTCCAAATATAAATGGTGAACATCTGCTTCCGTGAAAAGACACATAATGAAACAGGAAGTATACCTGGAAATCATCAAGGTAGCAAGGTTGTGGATGTTGATGGACAGAAAAGATGAGCGAGATGCGCACATGCGAAATAAGTAAAATTGCGCGTTTAAGCAAAATAAAATTAAGTATAAAAGAAGTCTTCTCCTTTTAAAGCCAGGTAAATAACCCAAAATATGACCACAAACATGAGGGTATTGGCGCTAAGTGTGAGTGCACAAGCGCCCCAATGAATCTGAAAGACATGTGAGTAAGGAGGAAGGAAATACAAGCTTACCGCGGGTGAATTAACCGGGATTCTGGCTAGAAGAATAGGGAGTGCATAGGCAGAAAATATCAGCACGGTGGTGATGAAAACGCATACGTCACGCACATTATTAGCTTCGTCCTGATTTCGTCCAATAGCAATCGGAAATGGCGTGACCAGGTAGAAGAGGAGAACAAACATTGGCCACCAGGCACTACAGCTATGTTTCGCGCTAACTGATGTGACTAACTTACTTGTATTGGGGTAGAGCGCAGGCCAACAGTAAAAAGGTGAAGGAACAAGCCCCGGCCATGGCGACGAAAAGTAAAACTAGTTAAAAATTAGTGGCTGAGCCACCGCCAATCTCAAGTACCTTTTATTCCTCTCATTTAAGGGTATAATCAAGTTAATTCGGATACTAAGGACAAAAAGAAGACCTGCCGGCGAGTCAAATTAGTGCAAGATGGCCGAGGAGAAAGAGCTAAAAATAGGATAGAAATGCACAGCCGCTCAAGAAAAAATCAGAATTAGTACAAATACGAATATATAAACATAGGAAACACGACCAAGGTCGTCATACGCATTAAATGGCAACTTAGCCGGCCGGTGGCCGAATAGTCTGTGCGCCTCGTCTGCGACCGGCACCGGTTCGAATCCACGTAGGGGTGCTCGCACTAGCGGTATACTCAGCCCTCGCGCGACTGGTGGTGGACGAGTGGCAGCGAAGCGTCGGTACGGCGTACAGCCAATGACTATTATTTTTATTTTAGTAGCCGTGTTCAGAGAAAGTCGTCGAGGAAACTAAGTAAGAAATGAGGCGAAGTAGCAGCAACCAGTAGGGCCGAATAAGCAGAGCCAAGTACGAAAAGATACACGCAAAATCAAAAGCACACATGGACGGAAACCCTCTCGAGCATAAACAAAGCTCGACGCAAGGACCATAAAAAGTTGCGAAAACCCACTCCCATGGAAAAATTCACAATTTCACTCCATCTTTCTCCGCTCTAGGTCACTGCACACTGGATGGCATCATCTTTTGAACTTAGTACCGCTACGAAGACCATGCATCTCGCCAGCTCCTGCAACGATTAAGCCCCTGGAGACAGTCATCGACGTGGCGGTTATCGACACGTAGGCACCTTGACATCATTCACATCAGGCACGGCCAGACGTGCGATACCAACCAAGAAAGGCAGTCGAAAATGTAGCAACATTAACTCACAAGCACATGTGCAGAAAAGCTGCGGCGACGATGCAGCACAGGTGCCACATTAGCCTGGCTGACGCAGACGACCACATGTACAATAACACCAGGTGTATGACGTCGATGGGAAGGAATCCACCGGTGCACGTCAATTTCGTAACCGGCGTTTATCCCCTTGATGCGACAGCTTTTTCCCATGCGCCCTGAACGTCCAAATTTCGATACTAACGGACTGATTGCTAGCGCGCTATGAAAGCAATACAAACGATGCTGGCTACGACGCTTCCATCGCGACGGAGATGTGCGTTAACATGGTGCGATGGTTTGTGTGCCTCAGCGATTCAGAGTAACTCATAGCAGATTGGTCAGTGGTTGGAGGTACGACAAAATCAGTCTCCTGACCCTGCAGTTGGGAGTTGGTGAGGATGGCTCGTTGCTCCAAAAAATGGACATTCTGCAGCCAACTGGCAAAATCTCGCTGTGTTGAGGTAAGATTTTTAAATCAAAGGCTCCGCTGGAGAAACATAATCGTTCTCATGCCTAGGCTTGGGCAAGCTGAAGTCATCCTGCACACGGAATGAAATGAGCTTAACTTCAAACAACCACTTGATGCGGACACGCTGACACTGGATGAGACGCAGAGAGCAGTTGCTCAGTTGCGAAACGGCAAGTGTAAAGGGGTCGACGAAATCCCGCCTGAAGTACTGTAACACGGCGGACCCGCGTTGGTGACTGCGCTGCACCACTTGGTGCAACGCATATGGATTGAGAAGAAGGTGCCTCCTGTACTAAAAGATGCCGTTGTGATATCATTGTAAAGGGCAAAGGGAGCAAACAATGTTGCACGAATTATCGTGGCACCAACTTACTGAGTTGTGTGGGCAAGTTGATTACCCGAATCCTGCTCAACCGCTTCGTCAGCCAGGTTGTGGAAACTAACGTGGCGGAAGAGCAGTGTGGATTCCGTTCGGGTCGCAGCACTATAGATATCGTGTGTGGGGCTCGCCAGTTGCATAAGAATTGCAGAGTACGACACCAGCCATTGTACTCGCTTTTTGTTGATTTCACCAAGGCATTTGATACAGTGGACCGCGAGGCATTGTGGCTGATGTTGTGTAAGTTTGGTTGCCCGCGTAAGTTTGACTGAATGTCTGTAAGGTGGTATAGGGGCGAGGGTGCGGCTGAGTGGAGAGACCTCGGATGACTTCGCCGTTACTTATGAGTAGAAGGATTTTAGCGGGTATTTTTGTTCGTCGCAGTCAGCTGACAATGCAGATAAGTCAACTACAGTAGCCGACCATCACGAATTGTTAGCTAACTGCGATATAGCCCGACCCATCCCCCACTGTCATGCAGGCACCTGCCATGCAGTTGACAGCGGTTGGCCTTCCGGCGTCAGGACTTCCCATTTACGGCAGCTATGAATCGACATAGCATTTTATGGAATCCGTAAGGGCGAATTTTATATTACTTATGAGTAGAAGGATTTTAGCGGGTATTTTTGTTCGTCGCAGTCAGCTGACGGATTCCATAAAATGCTATGTCGATTCATAGCTGCCGTAAATGGGAAGTCCTGACGCCGGAAGGCCAACCGCTGTCAACTGCATGGCAGGTGCCTGCATGACAGTGGGGGATGGGTCGGGCTATATCGCAGTTAGCTAACAATTCGTGATGGTCGGCTACCGTCCTCCATGGCTCAGTTGCATAAGCAGCGGGCTAGTTGGCACAAGCCACTAGCAGTCATGGGTTCGATCCTCGGTAGAGGACCGAAGGATGCGCACCACTGACGAGCCCCAATAGGGCGAAACGGCCGTCTGGTGCTTTTCCGGATAGGTAGTTGACTTATCTGCATTGTCAGCTGACTGCGACGAACAAAAATACTCGCTAAAATCCTTCTACTCATAAGTAATATAAAATTCGCCCTTACGGATTCCATAAAATGCTATGTCGATTCATAGCTGCCGTAAACGGGAAGTCCTGACGCCGGAAGGCCAACCGCTGTCAACTGCATGACAGTGGGGGATGGGTCAGGCTATATCGCAGTTAGCTAACAATTCTTGATGGTCGGCTACCGTCCTCCATGGCTGTTGCATAAGCAGCGGGCTAGTTGGCACAAGCCACTAGCAGTCATGGGTTCGATGCTCCGTAGAGGGCCGAAGGATGCGCACCACTGACGAGCCCCAATAGGGCGAAACGGCCGTCTGGTGCTTTTCCGGATAGGTAGTTGACTTATCTGCATTGTCAGCTGACTGCGACGAACAAAAAGACTTCGCCGTTGTCCCTGGCGTGAGTCAAGACTGTGTCTTAATTCATACCCTGTTTAATATATATCTTCATGCAACGATGTCTTGTGATTTTGATGCCGCTTGTGCTTACGGTGTTTGTGTGGAGGACCATATTGATGGTGGGTTACTGGACATCTGTCGTTTCGGTGCGAGAACCCTAGTCAGTGAGCCAATTATCCGTATGTTACTGTTTGCTGACCAGCGTGCGTCGTTTGGACACAGCGCGGATGAGTTGCAGCACATGACTAGTGCTTTGGCTTCGACAGCGGCCAAATTCGGGCTCACCATCAACACAAGCAAAACTGTCTGTCTCTTTCAGCCTTCACCGGAGGTGCAATCTGCAATATTGCCGCGAACAGCATTGGTGCCGAAGTATTGGAAACCACCTCCTGCTTCTGCTGCCTTGGGAGTGTGCTGTCGACTGATCAGCAGATACACAATGAGCTTCGTATCCGCGTTTCCAAGGCAGCGGCGACATTCGGGAAGATTGAGTACGAGGTGTGGAACAACCATCAGCTTATCAGTGGCACGAAGCTGATGGTGTACAAATCCATGGTGCTGTCCGTTCTTCTATACGGCAGTGGAACGTGGACGATGTACCTGCGGGATGTGCGATATCTCGAGCGGTTTCATCAACAGCGTTTGAGACGGATTCTGCGCATCGGATGGGGCGACAGAGTTACGGAAACGGACGTTTTGCGTCGAAGTGGAATGTATGCAGTGGACTGCATACTTTTGCTGAGACACCTGAGGTGGCTCGGTCATGTGAGCCGCAGGGATTCAACGCGGATACTGAAACAACTCTTATATGGTCAACTGAGTATTGAGAAACGACAGGTAGGAAAATCAAAGTTACGTTACCAGAACATGATCAAAGTGAGCCTCGCACGTTCTAATCTTGAATGCAGGTCATGAGAATTGAAGGCGGTTGATCGGCGTGCATGGCGCGATCTGCTCAAGAAGGTAGTTGCCGAAGTGAGGGAGAAAGACCTGATGCATGCGGAGAAGAAGCGACAAGTGCGGAGCCGACAAGCACCGATGGGTTGTACTCCATCGACATCGAGCGCTTGGTGCTGTAGCACATGCGGTCGCGAGTGCCTGAGTCAGGCAGGCCTAGTGAACCATGAGCGAAGCCACTCGGGACCAATACCGAAGCGACGACGGGTCCTGCAGAGAACGTAAGCAGAACCGGTGCAGCGCTTGCAGGTACACTGCATTCGTCCGTCTGAAAGGCCGGTTATACAAGGCCACAGTGAGGGACGTTCTACTCTATGGTAGTGAGACTTGGCGCCTTCGGTCTAAAAGTCTGAGGCGCCTTCAATTCTTTGATCGTCGTTGTCTGCGAAACATTGCTAGTGTCGGGTGGCACCAGCGTGTCCGTAACCTTGACGTGCATAGGCGAGTACTAGGTGGTGATAATCATGCTAGCTCCCTAGAACAACAGGTTGCACTGAATAAGTTGCGTTGACTAGGGCACGTGCTACGTATGCTTAGTCAGCGCTTACCTAAGAGGGCCTTATTTAGTCTGCCAGGTGTAGGGTGACGCAAGGCTAAAGGTGGACAGAAATTGACTTGGCAGCGGGAAATGAAGTCACCGACGACCAAACTGGGTGCCGTTGGTCCGCCTCGTCTTCCGGGCTGGAGTCCACGTGACTCGCCTTGTGCTTGGCTCGTGACTTTACAGGACATGGCTCGCAGTAGACACCAGTGGCGCGTCTGCTGCCGTCCCCTAATCGAATTGCTTGGTTGAAGTGTGTTTGGTGCCGAGTTATCTGCGGGGTCATGGCTGATTATGACGCGTGGCAATGAAAGCCGCAAGGAAGCTGTCTCGCCGATGCCGCCTTATCTTTACACGACAGCCAGCTATTTGTGACGGTATGTTGTCTACACAAGGTGTAGG